ATTACTCATAATCAGAAATAAATGAATGCCAGAGAACATCCCAAAGTGATACTAATTGGTGTGTCTTCCATTCTGTACATATATATCTGCTCTGTATCTCACAGGATCATCTACCACCTCTGGCTCGACTGACAGAGACAGTGGGCCAACATTCAGACCAGGTTCATTATTCCAATTCATTGCTCCTTGTACATGACATGTATCAGACTTGGTTTATGTATTTACTTAGTTTAACTTTTCAAATACTTCTTCCCTTGCTGACCAGTGACGGTAATGAAAAGCTGAATTTATATAACCACTGGTTATTCAGAAAAAAGATATTGGTTTTGATTAGTTGGTGCTAGACTGAGGACTGGGCATTCAGAACAATAATGTAGTAGTAAACCACTATTTGCTACAGAAAGAGAATGAAGTGTGTGTGTGTGTGTGTGTGTGTGTGTGTGTGTGTGTGTGTGTGTGTGTTGTAATCCAAGCCTCTCTGACTTTGTTGTGGTTGATGGTCCGGCTGCAGGTGGATGTGCATGTGAGTCCCTGTGTGTATCCCACTGGCTGGTTAATCTCCACCGCTCTGCACCTTGCACATATGACAGTTATTGCTGATAATACCACCCAGACCCATGGTGGCTGGATGGTGTTGTCTTGGAAGCATAGCGCCCACCCTAGAATGCCCCTCCAGTAGAGAAAATGTGATGCAGTGCCATATAAGCTACTCTACAAGCTAGCAAACTTTTTGGCAGGGCTGGTACACAGCTGGTGCCCAACCAAACCCTATACCCCTTAAGACCAATTCACAGTTTCCGTGTCAGCATGTCCGCGAGGGTCCCCTTTGGTCTGTGCAACCTTAATTTTGTCATCCACCCATGTCCCATGAGGGACATCCATGTGCAGCCTATTTGTTATGAGCTTTAGCTGCTGCACCTCAGTAAAGTCAGATTTCAGCTGGATATTTGACAGACACTCTCTCCAGACCCAGCAGCAGCTTTCTAGTTTCAGTTTCACCCAAAATGTTACTCTCCCTGTGAGGCTCATTGTCGGCAGGGGAAAACGTGGTGACAAGGACCACAGTGCAGGGAATGACACATTCGACATAGAAAAAATAAGGATTTCATAAATTTAAAAAGCCAGTCAGTGAGGTTTTAGGTCAACAAAATAACAAGCTGATTATACAGTTTTCCTTTTATCACCATACGTTGTCCTGTTGCTGCAGTGATCACTGTTTCATTGAGATACTATTACATCTTAAATAGCTTTTTTTTTTAAATTTCAGTTGACGACTGTGGAGCATACCCATACATTCCAAATAGTGATGTTGTGCAAAAGGATCGAATGNCCAGAGAACATCCCAAAGTGATACTAATTGGTGTGTCTTCCATTCTGTACATATATATCTGCTCTGTATCTCACAGGATCATCTACCACCTCTGGCTCGACTGACAGAGACAGTGGACCAACATTCAGACCAGGTTCATTATTCCAATTCATTGCTCCTTGTACATGACATGTATCAGACTTGGTTTATGTATTTACTTAGTTTAACTTTTCAAATACTTCTTCCCTTGCTGACCAGTGATGGTAATAAAAAGCTGAATATAACCACTGGTTATTAAGAAACAAGATACTGGTTTTGATTAGTTGGTGCTAGACTGAGGACTGGGCATTTAGAACAATAATGTAGTAGTAAACCACTATTTGCTACAGAAAGAGAATGAAGTCACAGTGTGTGTGTGTGTGTGTGTGTGTGTGTGTGTGTGTGTGTGTGGTAATCCAAGCCTCTCTGACTTTGTTGTGGTTGATGGTCCGGCTGCAGGTGGATGTGCATGTGAGTCCCTGTGTGTATCCCACTGGCTGGTTAATCTCCACCGCTCTGCACCTTGCACATACGGCAGTTACTGCTGATAACACCACCCAGACCCATGGTGGCTGGATGGAGTTGTCTTGGAAGCATAGCACCCACCCTAGAATGCCCCTCCAGTAGAGAAAACATGATGCAGTGCCCTCTAGAAAAAAAAAACGTGATGCAGTGCTCTCTAGAAAAAAAAAAACGTGATGCAGTGCCCTCTAGAGTGCCCTTCCAGTAGAGAAAACGCGATGCAGGGCGCTCTAGAGTGCCCCTCTTGTGGAGAAAACGTAATGCATTGTCTGCTAGAGTGCCCCTCCAGTGGAGAAAATGTGATGCAGTGCCCTCTAGAGTGTCCCTCTTGTGGAGAAAACGTAATGCATTGTCTGCTAAAGTGCCCCTCCAGTGGAGAAAACGTGATGCAGTGCCCTCTAGAGTGCGCCTCTAGTGGAGAAAACATGATGCTGTGCCCTCTAAAATTCCCTTCCATTAGAAAAAATGTGATGCAGTGCCCTCTAGAGCAGGGGTACTTAACCTTTTTGACCTTGGGGCCCAACTTTTCTTGTACAATGTGGTCCGGGGCCCATTCAGATATTAACATGTTTAATTGATCTTACTCTTGGTTTGATTTGTATTCAGTAACTAGATCAAATCCACTTCCTATTAATAAGCTAAAAACGTATCAAATAAATTACATGATACAATGTGATCATCACAGACACATTTATTTATCGTGGATATAAATCTACACCTCCGTCAAGATGCCAAACAGGCTAACAATTCATGGGACAAATGTGCTACAAGAACATATTTGACAACAATTTTAAAGGCTCAAGTTAAAGCAAAAAGAATGGCCTCTCAAAAAACTGATAAGAAAAATTAGAAATTTGACAAATAATAAAGGCCTATTATGTGGTGAAAAATACATTCAAAATAATACAAGTTTCAAATTAAATAAATAAATAACATTAAATAGAATAGAAATAAAGTGCAAATGAAACTATAGCTTATAATCACCAAGTTTAAAAATAAATAAAAAAATAGACAGTTACAATACTCAGCTACAATACAGCCTCCCACCACCCGGCGGCGGCAATACGCCAGCCAGCCACCCAACAGTAAAACAACTGACTGACGCATTACCGCCACCAAGTGGTGGGAGGCCGCACCGCAACAGAGTGTGTCAACATAACAGTATGCGGCCCTTGTGGCCCACAGGTGAAAAACTGAATTTGTTTCGCAGCCCTCTAGGTGGCGCTCGCGGCCCAAGCGTGGGCCACGGCCCCATGGTTAAGAATCCCTGCTCTAGAGTGCCCCCTCAGTAGAGAAAATGTAATGCAGTGCCCTCTAGAGTGCCCCTCCAGTGGAGGAAACATGATGTTGCGCCCTCTAAAATGCCTTTCAAGAAGAGAAAACATGATGCAGTGCCATATAAGCTACTCTACAAGCTAGCAAACTTTTTGGCAGGGCTGGTACGCAGCTGGTGCCCAACCAAACCCTATACCCCTTAAGACCAATTCACAGTTTCCGTGTCAGCATGTCCGCGAGGGTCCGCTTTGGTCTGTGTGACCTTAATTTCGTCATCCACCCATGTCCCACGAGGGACATCCATGTGCAGCCCATTTTTTTTGTGAGCTTTAGCTGCTGCACCACAGTAAAGTCAGATTTAAGCTGGATATTTGACAGACACTCTCTCCAGACCTAGCAGCAGCTTTCAGTTTCAGTTTCACCCAAAATGTAACTCTCCCAGTGAGGCTCATCGTCGGCAGAGGAAAACAAGCAGTTGGTGATGTCATGTGGTGACAAGGACCACAGTGCAGAGAATGACACATTCGACATAGGTAAAACAAGGATTTAATAAATTTAAAAAGCCAGTCAGCAAGGTTTTAGGTCAACAAAATAACAAGCTGATTGTACAGTGTTCCTTTTATCACTGTTGCTGCAGTGATCACTGTTTCATACATGTTAAATAGCCTTTTTTAAATTTCAGTCAAGGACTGTGGAGAATTCCCAAACGTTCCAAATGGTGATGTTGTGCAAAATGATCGAATGTTTTTGAAATACCAATGTGATGGCTTTCACACACTCGTCGGTGAAGCCACCGTGGCATGTTACAGTGATAGGACTTGGTCACCACTGCCCGTCTGCAAAGGTACAAACAAATCCAATATTTTCCTTTCCAAAAGTCTATTGAAGATGTTATCTAAGTCATTTTACATGTTTTTTTCCCTTTCTGTTAATTTTGTGCAGAGGCATTTTGTGTCCTCGATCCTGCTCAAAATCCTCTGCCCAGTGTTAAACTATCAACAGTTGAATATCTAAAGGAAGGAGAGCAGAAGTATTTCTGGTGTATTTGGCGAGATGTCAGCAGACGTGTTCAGTGCACTAATGGAAGAATAACTTTTACACAATGTAAGTATATAAGTAAGATCTTAACATTTTAGTTTGTCACAATACTTTTAGTTTCAGCATTTTTATTGTCAGATAACATATGTTAATATGAACTCTCCACGATCTTAAGTGATTCAGATCTAAATCACTTAAAGTGAGACAGTTTGAAGAAGAATACTGAAGGAAAACAAACATATTAAATCCATACACCATATTATTTAAAGAATAAGCCTGACATTAGGTTTTGTGTTGTCAATAAAAGAACCAGGATTTGCCTGTGGAAAGNCGTGGATATAAATCTACACCTCCGTCAAGATGCCAAACAGGCTAACAATTCATGGGACAAATGTGCTACAAGAACATATTTGACAACAATTTTAAAGGCTCAAGTTAAAGCAAAAAGAATGGCCTCTCAAAAAACTGATAAGAAAAATTAGAAATTTGACAAATAATAAAGGCCTATTATGTGGTGAAAAATACATTCAAAATAATACAAGTTTCAAATTAAATAAATAAATAACATTAAATAGAATAGAAATAAAGTGCAAATGAAACTATAGCTTATAATCACCAAGTTTAAAAATAAATAAAAAAATAGACAGTTACAATACTCAGCTACAATACAGCCTCCCACCACCCGGCGGCGGCAATACGCCAGCCAGCCACCCAACAGTAAAACAACTGACTGACGCATTACCGCCACCAAGTGGTGGGAGGCCGCACCGCAACAGAGTGTGTCAACATAACAGTATGCGGCCCTTGTGGCCCACAGGTGAAAAACTGAATTTGTTTCGCAGCCCTCTAGGTGGCGCTCGCGGCCCAAGCGTGGGCCACGGCCCCATGGTTAAGAATCCCTGCTCTAGAGTGCCCCCTCAGTAGAGAAAATGTAATGCAGTGCCCTCTAGAGTGCCCCTCCAGTGGAGGAAACATGATGTTGCGCCCTCTAAAATGCCTTTCAAGAAGAGAAAACATGATGCAGTGCCATATAAGCTACTCTACAAGCTAGCAAACTTTTTGGCAGGGCTGGTACGCAGCTGGTGCCCAACCAAACCCTATACCCCTTAAGACCAATTCACAGTTTCCGTGTCAGCATGTCCGCGAGGGTCCGCTTTGGTCTGTGTGACCTTAATTTCGTCATCCACCCATGTCCCACGAGGGACATCCATGTGCAGCCCATTTTTTTTGTGAGCTTTAGCTGCTGCACCACAGTAAAGTCAGATTTAAGCTGGATATTTGACAGACACTCTCTCCAGACCTAGCAGCAGCTTTCAGTTTCAGTTTCACCCAAAATGTAACTCTCCCAGTGAGGCTCATCGTCGGCAGAGGAAAACAAGCAGTTGGTGATGTCATGTGGTGACAAGGACCACAGTGCAGAGAATGACACATTCGACATAGGTAAAACAAGGATTTAATAAATTTAAAAAGCCAGTCAGCAAGGTTTTAGGTCAACAAAATAACAAGCTGATTGTACAGTGTTCCTTTTATCACTGTTGCTGCAGTGATCACTGTTTCATACATGTTAAATAGCCTTTTTTAAATTTCAGTCAAGGACTGTGGAGAATTCCCAAACGTTCCAAATGGTGATGTTGTGCAAAATGATCGAATGTTTTTGAAATACCAATGTGATGGCTTTCACACACTCGTCGGTGAAGCCACCGTGGCATGTTACAGTGATAGGACTTGGTCACCACTGCCCGTCTGCAAAGGTACAAACAAATCCAATATTTTCCTTTCCAAAAGTCTATTGAAGATGTTATCTAAGTCATTTTACATGTTTTTTTCCCTTTCTGTTAATTTTGTGCAGAGGCATTTTGTGTCCTCGATCCTGCTCAAAATCCTCTGCCCAGTGTTAAACTATCAACAGTTGAATATCTAAAGGAAGGAGAGCAGAAGTATTTCTGGTGTATTTGGCGAGATGTCAGCAGACGTGTTCAGTGCACTAATGGAAGAATAACTTTTACACAATGTAAGTATATAAGTAAGATCTTAACATTTTAGTTTGTCACAATACTTTTAGTTTCAGCATTTTTATTGTCAGATAACATATGTTAATATGAACTCTCCACGATCTTAAGTGATTCAGATCTAAATCACTTAAAGTGAGACAGTTTGAAGAAGAATACTGAAGGAAAACAAACATATTAAATCCATACACCATATTATTTAAAGAATAAGCCTGACATTAGGTTTTGTGTTGTCAATAAAAGAACCAGGATTTGCCTGTGGAAAGCCTGATATATAGCCTGTGTAATAAAGCTCCATTGTTGTCTAAAAACTATAAATTATAATAATTACTATGATTAAATTGTAGAATAACACCAGTCGTGTCCTTTAAGAACAGAACAGATTTTCTTCAGTCGGTTCAGCCATGCAGAACTTCAATAAATCAGACCTCAGTAACAAAAATGTGTGTGAATATAACAACTGAAATATTCACTGCTGTTCTGTTATTGGATTATTTTTAGGTTGTAATGGTTATGACCATCAGCAGGTGAGTGTTCGTCTTTGATTTACTTTTCAAAGAATTACGTTGTAATAAAATGTAACTTTATTTTGATCAGTTTTATGGTCATTAATTACATGTTAACATCATTGCTTATTTTTTGTGTTGTAATCAGGGAATTTGCTGGTAAAGCACAGCAGAGGAATCACTGCTGGACTGACAACTAAAGCCAAGTTGGAAATTTCCTCCGTCCTCCAAATTCCTCCACAAGAGAACAACTACACCCAGTTTTTTCTTTTTGTTTAATTTTTTATTGAAGATTCATACACACAATTTTGGAGCTGATTGCTCTTTAACAGTCAGTTTAATGACACGATCAATACTTTGAAAAGAAATAAAGTTTATATGAGCTACAGTCATCTGAATAAAATGTTCACTACAGAAATCTTAACTGAGATCTGTGTATTATTTTGTCTACAGTTTGTTTAGTACAGCCCTTTTACTAAGTATGGATATATCAGAAAGGAAATGTTCATCTTATATAAATGTACTTGAGACAGTATCACTGGCGAGTTCGCAGACACATGGGCTGGCAGATTCACAAAGTTCACTGTCTGTGTCAGTGCTTCATTGACTCTTTGTCTGGCAAGTTAGCAGCTGATTTTTAAATGCTACAGGAGGAGCTGTGGATGCGTCACCAACACTGATCCTGATTCAGAACAATTCCTGAAGGTTCATTTACTTGATGTACGGGGGGCACACAGCTGGCATTAGCAACATGTGCATATAATGACTGCTTCCCCAAATAAACTGTACACATCAGTGGCAATATCATAAACCTGGCATGGTGTACATAACATAAATACAAAATACATCCATTTAATATTGTATTTCCCTCCTCTAAGCCAAAATAAAAAACACAAGTCCCTCCCCAGTGCTTAAAATGTATTTGACATGGCCCCCGACACACGCGCGCGCGCGCGCGCGCGCACACACACACACACACACACACACACACACACACACACACACACACACACATTAAAGACGGACAGTCTCTAAGTGTACTGATTATGAATGAATGATATTTTATTTTTGTGTCAGGCCACCCTTGTGGCCCATCCCATATGGGGTTATATGACACATCTCCTGTAAAACAAAGAAAGAAATCAACAGTCCGTCCTGTCTGTAATACAGCATAACTTATACTCCATGCCACACAGATACACAGAGCCGGCCCAAGGCATAAGCGAACTAAGCACCTGCTTAGGGCCCTGTGACCACTAGGGGGGCCCCGAGAGCAATTAACTTCAAAAACAAAAAAAGAAAATAATAATTTATTATTTTTTTCCATGTGTGAGTGATGATGATTCATATATTATCAATTGTACGTTCTTGTACAAAAAGACAATATTATGTTAACAGAGTGTAGTTTCCTACTGCCTCTCTGCTCTAGACTAAATGTCAGAGCTCTGCTAGTAAGGTGTGCATCCAGCCTTGCAGTTCTCACTGCGCATCCACTGAGCTAGGAGCAGGTGGCTAATAATGTCGCAACAAAGGACATACCCTTCAGGGGCAGAAAAAAGAAAAAGAAAGAAGGAGGAAGAGGAGAAAAGACAACAAGATAAAGGTATGTCTGCATGTCTTGGTAATGTCACGTTTGGTGTCACAGAGATTTTGAAAAGTTTCCTCAAATTAGGAAAGTCCCTAATTGTTGTTAATATTTCATTCCAACTATGTTAGTAGGGCCAGCCCAAGCCTCCATGGGGCCCTAAGCAAAATTTGATTTTGGGGCCCTCTATTACTGCCAATAATACTGATTATTGATCATTCACACACCTACTATAAGTTATATCATGTTCTACTTGGTCATCACTTGTAAAACTAGAGGTGAGAACTTTTTGTTGTAGTTAGATTGTAATCCACAGTGATTAAGGCCATGGAAGCAGACAACAGATTTGCAAACTTTCAGAAAAATCTTTCAATTAATATTTGGCAAAGTCAGGTCACACAGAGAATCAATACATAAAAAGGCTGCAAAGAGCAGCCTGGCATGTTTTACCCATATATGGTTTTTAATCTGAAATGGTAGCAAATTCAGCTACAAGAGCAGCCTGGGGTTGATTTACACTTAATATTCAAAGTGATATAGTACTAAGTGGGATACCAAATGTCATCTAGGCCAACTAAAAGTAACAAAATAAACCAGTCTTTACTGTAAACACAATCTGCGTTATTATTATTTTTTTTTTTTTGTTTTGTTTTGTTTTGTTTTAAATAAACTGCAACAGCAAATGTACAAAAACAGACAGTATTAAATAAAATTAAAAATATATCAAACAAATCCTTAAATAATGATGTAAATGAACAGAGGCACCTGAAACAAGGTAACAAAAATGGTTTATAATTAAAATAAAATTACAAAGGCTGAAAAACAACAACAACAACAACAACAACAAAAGCTAGCCATGTTAGATGTCATATTACACTTGAAAATTATGCTGCTTATTTTCTAAATAAATAAGTAGTAAAATATAGGGAAATTAAATGAATATTTTTGGACAAAATGATTCATCTCAGAATGTTCTGCAGTACACTGAGCAATTACAAAGGCTCTTTTGTTGTTAACTTACCAGGTAGAGCTGAGGTTGTAGCAGACACAGAGGGGGCAGTGGGCACAGTGGATGGGTCAGAGGATGGAGATGGATTTAAGACGAAAAACATGTCCCTTGTCATATGATTGTGTCTTGTTATATTAGTATATCTTAATGAGATAATTTGACTAGAAATTAAATATATATGGTGACAGTTTTTCCCTCACCTGTTTCATTAGCCTTGGCTGAGCCTGAGGAGGTGGACTGCCCCTGGGCTGAGTCAGTGCCTCCTCCAAAATACTTTAACAGTGCTCCTGGGGAAGTTTCATATAACTCATGAGCATAATAGGGAGTTGATGTAAAAGGAATATGTTTATTTACTCACATAAATTACTATGCTCTGCAGCAAACTACATATCTCAAACTATAAGTTAAGTAAGTTAATTCATTAATGCAAAAACATATCGCTAGCAAACGTCACCGCGTCTGTAATGAATGTTAGTTGTTATTAAACATTTGCTATCAAACATTGTTATCAGAAACATTGTTTTGATGCCAAAAAGCGACCCAGAATATATACACCGAGAATCAACTTATTCATACACAAACACAAAAACGTTAGCTTGAATAGTAAGCTATCTAACCTTCCAGTTAAAAGAGAAGTTTCTCTGGCTTTGAACTAACATTAGCTAGCTAATTTGCTATTATAGGCTTACAGGACAGACAATAGGATTTTATTTATTTTTACACTACATTTTCACTGAAAGCTGACCGAATCCAACCCGTGCCCGAATACAATTTATACATTTTTGACCGAACCCGTCGGGACCCTCTAGTGTGTGAATATGTCCCCTATCTATAGGCGCCTATCTGAATTTCTGTCTTTGAGAGATATTATTTTGTAACATAACTGAATTTTCTATCCATACATATAAACTTTAAATATATTAAAATTATAAGGCATCTTTGAGTAAACTGCGAATATCATTTAAGTAGGCTATCTCGTAGCCGGGCCGAGTGTCCTCTTTTTTGGAAATCAACTACTGGACTTTAAAAATGTGAATTCAACTTAAATTCCTCCTTTGAGAGCCCGGTCTCACTCCAAAGTCGATGAAATCCGGTGCTTGGGCAGTGACTTGTGGCGTCAGAAACCAACAAAAAAAAGTCATCCTTTAACACCAGCATGATACACAGCCAGTTGCTGTTGTAGTTTAACAACGCCCAGCAACGTCAGGGGGAAACGTGATGGGACAAGGACGAAAGTTAAGGCAGGCGAAAGTCCAAGGGGGGGGGGGGGCGGTTGGGAAGGGTGCTGGATGGGTCCAACAAACATCAACTTTCACTGGAGAAAGCAGGGTTCATGACCCGTGAGATTCTAAAGCCAAACCCTGTTCTTTTTTCCTAAACCTGACCACGTGTAATTCATGGTGTTGTACTGACGTAGTGCATTTATTTCCTGTGAAAATGGAAGCGTAATTTGAAAGAAGACAATACATGTAACAGGCAGGAGTTGGAGGAAATCTGTATTCTATGAATATTATTGAAATATGTATTTGCAGTAGAGATGATTCAATGTGCAGGTTTAGTGAATATAACATGTAATACACCTTTAATGGTTTACTCTGAGCAGCTCTGACAATGTGTCAAGCTGTCATTTTAGAAATCATCAGATTTAAACATATAAAGTTAGACATGTGTTTTTAGATATTCTGTTTTTTCTATTCTGATCTTTTTCACATGTTTTTTCTCCTTTTCTGTGGGTGTGTCTGTGAACATGAAGCCTATTTGTCCACCTTTTCTTTTGGCTCCAGAGCAGCACCATGATGCCCGAGTGTTTACTCCACAAACATTTTCGGGAAATGCCCTCAACAATAATTAACTGGCTCTGATCTGGACTCGGCTCTCAGCTCTACTTTGTTATCAGGTGATTTTGTTCCTGACAAAATGTGCATCAGATACCTTGGATTTATTCTTCTGATTTGGTTTCCTAGAGCGCTACATGGTGAGGATATCAAACACTTTAACATACGATCATTTGAATTTCTTAACAACAAATACAGTTACTGTTTAGTAATCGTCCTTATTGTTGTGTTTTAGCACAAAGTGCAGCACAGTCGTGTAGTGCTCCCAGACTGGATGGTGGTTTCTTTGCCCCAAAACAACAGACTTATTCTGATGGAACAGAGCTGAGCTATACCTGTGATGAAGGACATAAACCAGCAGTGAAGGGTTGGTGGGCAACAAGCACATGTCACAATGGAAAATGGTCTCCTGAACCACAGTGTATAGGTAAGTGTTCCTAAACATGTCTACTGTTGTTTCCTTTTGTCCCCATGGTTGCAGCGTTGTTGTCAGTCTGTGGGTCCACTACTTTGGTCCAGACTCAAATATTCTATCAGATGGATTGCCATGAAATTTGGTACACACATTCATGTCCCCCTGAGGATGATAGTTATAACTTTGATGATCCCCTGACTTCTCATCTAGCATTTAGCATTCCTTTAGCAGCAAGTCTTTTTTGCTATAAGATATTTGTTGCTATGATAAGTCCTTGGAGATACTATTCATGCACGTGATGGCATTTCAGACATATCAATTGCCAAAAAGCGTTTGGTATAAGGACAGATACATGACAAGGATAACATGTGATAAAGGATATGAAACCAAAGACTAAAAGGCTGCAGCTAAATGTGTACATGGGACACGGTCCTCTGTGCTGGTCTGTGAGAGTCTGTCAGATGTTTTATACAAGCAAGCTGTAAAATTAACAGTGACCAGAATTATATGAGTGTTAAAACCAACCAAACCAATCAAGTAACCACTCATCTGACCACCTTAATGCTTCTTTTTAATGACCATTGTGCTCATTTTTATAGAAAGTATCCATGCATGTGGTGAGCCCCCTAAAATCCCCCACGCAGTCATCGTTCATCAGAAATACCGGGACTTTTTTGCTGCAGATACAAAACTGCAGTATGAATGTGAAGATGGATATACTGTTGAGGGAGCAGACACCACAAAGTTGATCTTTTGCTTTTCGGGAAACTGGACTGAAGGCCCAACGTGCAGTAAGTGGACAATGTGCTCAGATATGCAGTAGGATGCATCATGCATCAGGCTTATTAGTTTCTGTACTTACTAAATGGGACTTTTCAGTACTTCCCTTTCTGACCAGTTACTGTAAGCCCTCCCACCCCCCTATGGATGTCGACGAGTCCCCATAAAAATAGTACTGTACTCAAAACAACAGTCAACAAAATTTAGAGACAGGCTTATATTTTATTCCAAATTTTAACTTGAAATTGAGCAATATATTAAGTGTTAAGAGTTTCAGTAAACTTCATACAATTTATACTTCATGTATATTGTACACATTGTTAACAAATTAACACAACACGTTCACATAAGAAATAATGATGGAAAAGTAAATATTAACTTTGGATCAATAACTGACCCTTCGCTAAGCCCCGCCCCTTTGTGATGGTCCAACAAGCTGTCGCAGTAAGCATGGAGCCCACACTGTAACTAACTGTATTTTTTTTATTTTTTTTTTTTTGTTTTTTTTTATTTTTTTTAGAGTGAAGCAGACAGAGGGGTTTACAGTCTGTGTTTGAAGGATATATCCAGGATGTCAAACTGACTCAGCAGCAACAACAGGTTAAAAAGACAAAGATAGTTAGAAGCTAAAGCCGAACTATAGGCTACAGATCACAGTGTAAATGTGAACCAACCACTCCACATCTGCTGGCAGTGGGACACAACCTGAAGGTGGAGGTAGGTTACTGACACAAATTAGAGATGAATGAATAACAATTTATCTCTATAATCCAGTCACTCAGAAGAATATATACTGTGTGTATATCTAATGAGTTTGCTCTCTTCCTCTCAGGCAGAGAAACCAGACCAACTACTGGACAAGGTGGAGGGACACAACCTGCAGGTGGAGGTAAGTTATTCACATTTAGAGCATTCATTGAAAGTTTAATTTACTTTACAATTTACAGTCTTTAATTTTCTAAAAAGAATAATGTGAAAATTGTTTCGGTATTACTCTTAATCAGAAATAAATGAATTCCAGAGAACATCCCAAAGTGATACTAATTGGTGTGTCTTCCATTCTGTACATATATATCTGCTCTGTATCTCACAGGATCATCTACCACCTCTGGCTCGACTGACAGAGACAGTGGTCCAACATTCAGACCAGGTTCATTATTCCAATTCATTGCTCCTTGTACATGACATGTATCAGACTTGGTTTATTTATTTTCTTAGTTTAACTTTTCAAATACTTCTTCCCTTGCTGACCAGTGACGGTAATGAAAAGCTGAATTTATATAACCACTGGTTATTCAGAAAAAAGATATTGGTTTTGATTAGTTGGTGCTAGACTGAGGACTGGGCATTCAGAACAATAATGTAGTAGTAAACCACTATTTGCTACAGAAAGAGAATGAAGTTTTTTTTTGTGTGTGTGTGTGTGTGTGTGTGTGTGTGTGTGTGTGTGTGTGTGTGTGTGTGTGTTGTAATCCAATCCTCTCTGACTTTGCTGTGGTTGATGGTCCGGCTGCAGGTGGATGTGCATGTGAGTCCCTGTGTGTATCCCACTGGCTGGCTAATCTCCACCGCTCTGCACCTTGCACATATGACAGTTACCACTAATAACACCACCCAGACCCATGGTGGCTGGATGGAGTTACCTTGGAAACTTAGTGCCCACCCTAGAATGCCCCTCCAGTAGAGAAAACGTGATGCAGTGCCATATAAGCTACTCTATACGCTATACGTTACCTTTTGGCAGGGCTGGTACGCAGCTGGTGCCCAACCAAACCCTATACCCCTTGAGGCCAGTTCAGTTTCTGTGTCAGCATGTCCACGAGTGGCCACTTTGGTCTGTGTGACCTTTCTACGTCATCCACCCATATCAAAGAGGGTCAACACTGGCCCCTATGCGGACGTCCCATTTTTCGTGAGCTGCAGCTGCTGCACCACAGTGAAGTCAGATTTGGTGACAAGGACCACAGTGCAGGGAATGACACATTTGACATAGGAAAAATAAGGATTTAATAAATTTAAAAAGCCAGTCAGTGAGGTTTTAGGTCAACAAAATAACAAGCTGATTGTACAGTGTTCCTTTTATCACTGTTGCTGCAGTGATCACTGTTTCATACATGTTAAATAGCCTTTTTTAAATTTCAGTCAAGGACTGTGGAGAATTCCCAAACGTTCCAAATGGTGATGTTGTGCAAAAGGGTCGAATGTTTTTGAAATACCAATGTAAAGCCTTTCACACACTCGTCGGTGAAGCCACCGTGGCATGTTACAGTGATAGGACTTGGTCACCACTACCCGTCTGCAAAGGTACAAACAAATCCAATAATTTCCTTTCCAAAAGTCTATTGAAGATGTTATCTAAGTCATTTTACATGTTTTTTTACCCTTTCTGTTAATTTTGTGCAGAGACATTTTGTGTCCTCGATCCTGCTCAAAATCCTCTGCCCAATGTTCAACTATCAAGAGTTGAATATCTAAAGGAAGGAGAGCGGAAGCATTTTCCGTGTATTTGGTATGATTACAGCAGACGTGTTCAGTGCACTAATGGAAGAATAACTACTACAGGATGTAAGTATATAAGTAAGATCTTAACATTTTAGTTTGTCACAATACTTTTAGTTTCAGCATTTTTATTGTCAGATAAAATATGTTAATATTAACTCTCCATGATCTTAAGTGATTCAGATCTAAATCACTTTAAATGAGACAGTTTGAAGAAGAATACTGAAGGAAAACGAACATATTAAATCCATACACCATATTATTTAAAGAATAAGCCTGACATTAGGTTTTGTGTTGTCAATAAAAGAACCAGGATTTGCCTGTGGATAGCCTGATATATAGCCTGTGTAATAAAGCTCCATTGTTGTCTAAAAACTATAAATTATAATAATTACTATGATTAAAGTGTCCTTTAAGAACAGAACAGATTTTCCTCAGTCGGTTCAGCCATGCAGAACTTCAATGAATCAGACCTCAGTAACAAAAATGTGTATGAATATAACAACTGAAATATTCACTGCTGTTCTGTTATTGGATTATTTTTAGGTTGTTCTACTTATGACCATGGACGGGTGAGTGTTCGTCTTTGATTTACTTTTCAAAGAATTACGTTGTAAATAAATGTAACTTTATTTTGATCAGTTTTATGGTCATTAATTACATGTTAACATCATTGCTTATTTTTTGTGTTGTAATCAGGGAATTTGCCCGTAAAGCACAGCAGAGGAATCACTGCTGGACTGACAACTAAAGCCAAGTTGGAAATTTTCTCCGTCCTCCAGATTCCTCCACCAGAGAACAACTACACCCATTTTTTTGTCCTTTTTGTTTCAATTTGATTGAAAATTCATACACACAATTTTGGAGCTGATTGTTCTCTGACAGTCAGCTTGTGTCTTTATGACTGGAACTCCTTATAGCATTATCAGTTCTCTGAATAAAAATAAAGTTCATATGACCTACAGTCATCTGAATGAAATGTTCACTGTAGAAATCTTAACTGAGATCTGTGTATTATTTTGTCTACAGTTTGTTTAGTACAGCCCTTTTACTAAGTATGGATATAGCAGAAAGGAAATGTTCGTCTTATATAAATGTACTTGAGACAGTATCACTGGCGAGTTCACAGACACATGGGCTGGCAGATTCACAAAGTTCACTGTCTGTGTCAGTGCTTCATTGACTCTTTGTCTGGCAAGTTAGCAGCTGATTTTTAAATGCTACAGGAGGAGCTGTGGATGCGTCACCAACACTGATCCTGATTCAGAACAATTCCTGAAGGTTCATTTACTTGATGTACGGGGGGCACACAGCTGGCATTAGCAACATGTGCATATAATGACTGCTTCCCCAAATAAACTGTACACATCAGTGGCAATATCATAAACCATGGCGCACATAACATAAATACAAAATACAGCCGTTTAATATTGTATTTCCCTCCTCTAAGCCAAAATAAAAAACACAAGTCCCTCCCCAGTGCTTAAAATGTATTTGACATGGCCCGCGACACACGCGCACGCACACGCACACACACACACACACACACACACACACACACACACACACACACACACACACACAGAGTCTGTCCTGTCTGTAATACAGCATAACTTATACTACATGCCACACGATACACATGCTGAATGTACATACATGAACAAATAAGATCTTTCCCTGTTACATATACATGGCCCTCCTGCTCAATGATCAGGCCTTTTCAAGAAATGAAACAAATGAAAAAATATCATGATGAAAAAGACGTTTCAGTTTCTCTGAGTCATCCAACCACACAAACTCATTTTCTGGATCTACCTTATTAAAGAGTCTCTGCCTAATAAAATGATAGAATGGGACAATACCATACAAAGTGCATTTCATTTTCAATTTCATTGAGATCACACAGACTATATATTCATGCTCTTCAGCAGTGCCTACATATCTGCCTGTCTCAATATGTAGAGCAAGTATCCCAGCTCTAATTTGAGCACACAATGACTGTTTCTTTATTGAAAAATTATACAATATATAATTTTCTGGACCATGAACATGCTTTATCTCACAGTAAGTACCAAGGTTTGGTTTACACCGTATATCTAGTGCCCATCTGTCCTTTACTTGCTGAAAAATAATATCTTTAACAAAGCTAATATCTAATTTTTCTTTATTATAGTAATGGTCTTCATACCCAGCTCTAACAAGGATATCATACATGTCACTCGCCCATACGCCCTTAGTCATGATATCCCACTCAAAAATCTTTCTTATGATTCTGTTCCAAAGATGTGCCATATGCACACTCCACCGTACTTCAATGGGTTCCCACACCATATCTCCCATGATAGCCAGGGTTGGTGCAAACTCACGTACATCCAGGAAGTACCGCATCACTCTATTACGCACAGCCTCACTTTTGGGGTATTGCAAGTGAGATCCCCACACTCCTGCAACATAATCTAAAACGGGACACGCACAAGTTTGGTATAATTTGGAGTAAGTGGAGAAACCAATATCCCTCAGGGTCTTTGTTTTCCCTGTGACTCCCAATTTGCTGATTCAGCCAATAAAGATGTTCCTTTTGAAAAATACATAAATTCATCCAAGTAAAGGCCCAGATACTTAAAATATTTTGTATAATTCAATTTTATTTGCCCAAATTGAAATTGAAAGTCACTAATTGAAATTGTATGGCTGGGGTTCTAAAATGCATAATTTCAGTTCTCTGATCGTTTATCGAAAGTCTCCTTTTTTTGCACCAATTACTTGCACGTCAGCATTCTTTGCAAATCCACTTCTGTTTCTGCCATCAGAACAATATCATCTGCATTCAACAGTATGCAGACATGTTCATTCCCACATTTGACTCCACAGTTTAACTGTTTAATTTGATTGGCTTAATCACTGATATATACAGCGAACAAAGTGGGGGACAGCATATCTCCCTGCTTAACCCCTGATGGTGTGGGAAACCAGTGGGTAAGATTATCATTTTCTTTCACACAAGCTTGGGGTGTACTATAAGGAGAACGAATTGCCTGATAAAATTTTCCATCTACACCTGTTTTGATCAATATGTACGCTAGAAGGTCTCTATTGACAAAACCAAAGGCTTTCTGAAAATCTGTGTAACACGCATATGTAGATTTATTTTCCTTCAGTCTGTTTCTTACTATAGCACATACTGTGTAAATATGGTCGATTATATCTGTCATGCTCTGAGCTAAATGCTAACATCAGCATGCTAATAATGGCAATGATAAATACTAACATTAAGCAGGTACAATGTTTGCCATGTTAGCTTGTTAGCATGCTAGCATGTGCTAATTAGCACAAAGCACAGAGTACATCTGAGGCTGATGAGAATGTCTTAAGTTTTGCATATATTTAGAAATGAACCAAGTCATAGCACAAATTAAATAATGGCACTAGTTCAAACAGTTCATCCTGAGGGGAACATGAATGTGTTCATCAGAAATCCATCGCACCTGCTGAGATATTTCAGTCTGGACCAAAGTAGAGGACCACCTGACCAATCAACATCGCTATCTGTAGAGCCGTGCTGCTAACATGGCTAAAAAGGAATATTACAGGAGTTTATGTCATTTTAATTATTGTACTATAGTGTTAGTTGTAACTGCAAATGTGGTAACTGTGTGGATGATTGTGATTAAAAATGTGAATTCGACTTAAATTCCTCCTTTGAGAGCCCGGTCTCACTCCAAAGTCGATGACATCCGGTGCTTGGGCAGTGACTTGTGGCGTCAGAAACCAACAAAAAAAGTCGTCCTTTAACGTCGGCATGATACACAGCCAGTTGCTGTTGTAGTTTAGCAACGCCCAGCAGCGTCAGGGGGAAACGTGATGGGACAAGGACGAAAGTTAAGGCAGGTGAAAGTCTGAGTGGGGCGGGCGATAGTGGTGGTGGATGTGTCCAACAAACATCAACTTTCATCCGAGAGAGCAGGGTTCGCATCCCGTAAGATTCTAAAGCCAAACCCTGTTCTTTTTCCTAAACCTGACCACGTGCTTTTGTTGTTAGAGGAAAAAAACACGTCAATTCACGGTGTTGTACCAATGTAGTGCGTTTATTTTCTGTAAAAATGGAAGTGTAATTTAAAAGACGACAATGCATGTAACAGGCAGAACTTTACACGGTGTCCCAGAATGTCAACAACCAACGCACCAGGGTACCTTGCATGCCGTATGTGGACGTGGAAACTCCATGACCAAACGCCTATATGTGACGAGGTCAGAGTGAGATGTTATTATAACAGGGTGGCATGGTGATACAGTGGTTAGCATTGTCGCCTCACAGCAAGAGAGTTCCTGGTACGAACCCCAGGGTGGGGGAGCTGTTCTGTGCAGAGTTTGCATGTTCTCCCTGTGTCAGAGTGGGTTTTCTCCAGGTACTCCTGCTTCCTCTCACAGTCCAAAGACATGCAGGTTAATTGGTGACTCTAAATTATCCATAGGTGTGAATGTGAGTGTGAATGGTTGTCTGTCTCTATGTGTCAGCCCTGTGATAGTCTGGTGACCTGTGCAGGGTGTAGCTCACCTCTCGCCCAATGTTAGCTGGGATAGGCTCCAGCCCCGCCCTCGACCCCTAACAGTATAAGCGGTTACGGAAAATTAATCAATCAATCAGACATTTATATAGGCTTATATGGCACAGAGAGAGAGAGAACATTATAATAACTGGGGAAACGCTATCATCAATTCGTGTGTCATCGGCATAACTATGGAAGTGGCAACATGTAGAGGTTAGAAAGTGTGGGACCTAAAATTGAACCTTGAGGAACACCACAATTTATTTTATAGCGTTTTGATGAAAATTCCTCCATGCTTACAAAAAATTCTGATAAGAATCGGTCTGATAAGATAAGACTCTATCTAAAAGAATGTTTAAAGATCCCCTCAAGACATGTTGTACAACATATAAATCACTCTGTTGTAAATAATCATTTGTGTCTGATAGTGTTCTTCCACTAAAAGTTCAATTGAATAGTTCAAATATTCTTAAAATGGCAGCCACTCCTTCCTCCTCACGAGGAAATCTGTAATCTATGAATATTATTGAAATATGTATTTGCAGTAGAGATGATTCAATGTGCAGGTTTAGTGAATATAACATGTAATACACCTTTAATGGTTTACTCTGAGCAGCTCTGACAATGTGTCAAGCTGTCATTTTAGAAATCATCAGATTTAAACATATAAAGTTAGACATGTGTTTTTAGATATTCTGTTTTTTCTATTCTGATCTTTTTCACATGTTTTTTCTCCTTTTCTGTGGGTGTGTCTGTGAACATGAAGCCTATTTGTCCACCTTTTCTTTTGGCTCCAGAGCAGCACCATGATGCCCGAGTGTTTACTCCACAAACATTTTCGGGAAATGCCCTCAACAATAATTAACTGGCTCTGATCTGGACTCGGCTCTCAGCTCTACTTTGTTATCAGGTGATTTTGTTCCTGACAAAATGTGCATCAGATACCTTGGATTTATTCTTCTGATCTGGTTTCCTAGAGCGCTACATGGTGAGGATATCAAACACTTTAACATACGATCATTTGAATTTCTTAACAACAAATACAGTTACTGTTTAGTAATCGTCCTTATTGTTGTGTTTTAGCACAAAGTGCAGCACAGTCGTGTAGTGCTCCCAGACTGGATGGTGGTTTCTTTGCCCCAAAACAACAGACTTATTCTGATGGAACAGAGCTGAGCTATACCTGTGATGAAGGACATAAACCAGCAGTGAAGGGTTGGTGGGCAACAAGCACATGTCACAATGGAAAATGGTCTCCTGAACCACAGTGTATAGGTAAGTGTTCCTAAACATGTCTACTGTTGTTTCCTTTTGTCCCCATGGTTGCAGCGTTGTTGTCAGTCTGTGGGTCCACTACTTTGGTCCAGACTCAAATATTCTATCAGATGGATTGCCATGAAATTTGGTACACACATTCATGTCCCCCTGAGGATGATAGTTATAACTTTGATGATCCCCTGACTTCTCATCTAGCATTTAGCATTCCTTTAGCAGCAAGTCTTTTTTGCTATAAGATATTTGTTGCTATGATAAGTCCTTGGAGATACTATTCATGCACGTGATGGCATTTCAGACATATCAATTGCCAAAAAGCGTTTGGTATAAGGACAGATACATGACAAGGATAACATGTGATAAAGGATATGAAGCCAAAGACTAAGAGGCCACAGCTAAATGTGTACATGGGACATGGTCCTCTGTGCCAGTCTGTGAGAGTCTGTCAGATGTTTTATACAATCACTGTCACTTTGGTGAAAATGTGTTTTTGTATCTTTTTTCCTCTCAGATGAAAAAGCCTGCCTGCCACCAGACATACCCAATGCAAAATACACAGGAAACCGGAGTGGTTGGTATAGGGATGCACACAAAATCAGGATAACATGTGATGAAGGATATGAACCCAAATACAGACATGTCACAGCCAAATGTGATGGTGGAACATGGACGTCTCTGCCGGTCTGTGAGAGTAAGTCTGATGTTCTGTACAAACAAGTTGTAAAACAAAGACAAGTTATTCTTACGTTTAAGTTCTCACCAGCTAACTGAGCCAAGCAAGTAACCACTCATCTGAGCTCCTTTATTAACTCTTNCGTTTAAGTTCTCACCAGCTAACTGAGCCAAGCAAGTAACCACTCATCTGAGCTCCTTTATTAACTCTTCTTTTTCATGACTAATATACCAATTTTCACAGAAAGTATCTATGCATGTGATGAGCCCCCTAAAATCCCCCACGCAGTCATCATTCATCAGGAATACCAGGAGGTGTATCCTGCAGATACAAAATTGCAGTATGAATGTAAAGATGGATATACTGTAGAGGGAGCAGACACCACAAAGTCCATCACTTGCATATCTGGAAACTGGAATGAAGGCCCAACATGCAGTAAGTGGACGTATATGCTAAGATATACAGTGAGATACTTTTCCTCCCCCTTTTTCTTAATTATTATCAGGCACTCGATGCAGTGACACTAACTGGCGTGTCTTTGTTACTTTTCTCTGCTGTGTATCAAACAGGACCTTCTACCTCTGGCTCACTTGAGAGAAACCCTAAACCTCTATTCACAACAGGTAGATCATTTAAATTCATGGCTCCTTTTACATCACATGAATCAGACTTACTAGTTTCTGTATTTACTAAATTGGACTTTTCAGTCCTTCCCTTTCTGACCAGTTACTGTAATGAAAAAGCTGAATTTGTAGCCACTACCAATCCTAGACTTTGGGGGGACCCCTGGCAAAGAAGTCAATCAAGCCACCCAACCCCCCCTATGGATGTGGATGAGTCCCAATAAAAATAGTAAGATGGCCGTTGTGAGCATTTATACCTGTGCGGCGGTGTGTCTGTGTCACTCTGCAGTTACATCTCGGGGTTTCTATGAAGCGCTATAAAGTTTAGTTGATTCAAATCACACATTAAACACACATTAAACATGGCTTCATAGCGACAGTTTCAAACTCAAGTACACAAATCAGCTTCACTATGACTCGCAACATTCACAGACAAACACTTGTCTTTATCTGGACACATTTTCCCCACAAATACAACATGCTAACGTTATTAGCACAAGCCTATGGCATTTTACATTGTATGAATTAGCCTAGCTGCTAGCGGACTTTTCCTCCTCTCTTCTCATATGAAACCAGGGACAATAGCAACATTTAACAAAGGTAAAGTTACAAAATTCAGCTCCACTACGGCTCACAAGAGTCACCGACAAAACAACTGTCTTGTACTAAACATGTTTTCCAAACAAATATAACATGCTAACGTTATTAGCACAAGCCTATGGCATTTTACATTGTTAGAATTAGCCCAGCAATGAGCAGAGATTTCCTCTGCTCATATGAAGTCAGGATAAATCAAGACTTAAAATGCTATTTTGTGGAGAATTTATTATCTTCACAATTTATTGTTTCTTATCTGTGAAATTATAGTAAATAAAAGCTTTGTTTCCACTGAGGCAAATGGTTTCAGCTTACAAAAATAGACAGGAGGTCTGTGTCACTGCGAGGTGCAATTATATTTCTGGGGAGGTGTGCGTCAGGCTACGGAGTAGGGTACAGCGTCGATTCGACACAGGCTGACTGTAAAATGTTTATTTATTACAACAGGTTGTGTTGTTGCTGCTGTGAACACTGTTTCATTAAAATATGATGAAAAATGATAAATAACCTCCTCCATTTATTTCAGTCGACCACTGTGGAGCATACCCCAATGTTCCAAACGGTGATGTCGTGGAAAGGGATCAAACCTTTTTAAAGTTCCAATGTAGTGCTTTTTACACACAAGTCGGTTTAGGCACCGTGGTGTGTTACAGTGATGGGACTTGGTCACAACTACCCATCTGCAAAGGTATAAACAAGTCAATACCAGTATTCTTCATTTCAAAGGTTTATGAAAGATGTTACCCAAATAATGATACACATGTGTTTTTCTGGTAATTTTGTACAGAGGCGTTCTGCGTCCTGGATCCTGCTGAACATGTTGGGGCCAATTTTAGACTATCTGGAGTTGAGTATTTAAAGGAAGGAGAGGAGAAACATATTCCGTGTATTCAGCAGGATTACAGCAGCCGTGTTCAGTGCACTAATGGAAAAATAAATTTCACCCAGTGTAAGTATGTAATTTAGTTCTTTACATTTTAATTTGCTCTTAAATTTGTTTTAGTTTCAGCCTGTTTTATGGTCAGATAACATAAATGAATGTTCACGCTTCGGGATCTAAAGTGATTATGATCTAAATCACTTTAAGTGGGATTAAAGAAGAATTATTATGATGGAAAAGAACACAAAGATACGGAGACCGGGAGGTGACATGCATATGTTATTTTTTTTAAAACGCACGCACTCTTTTTAACTCGCGCACACGTTTTATGTACATATATATATATATGAAAGGCACGCGCGTTTTATTACTATTTCGCGCGCGCATTTTACAAAACGCATGCTCATTTTATTAAAACGCGGGTGCGCTTGGCTATCGGCGCCTCATACTCCCACCAAGTGCAGCAGGAGGACGGACATCAAGAGGACGGATACCATCTGTCGCATAGACAAATGCATTAAGTAAGGGATAATGTATAGTGAGCCGGTGACTGTTGAAAAATAACTCCCGACAGGGGAATGGAACCCCGACGCGCAGCGGGGGTTTTTCAGCTGTCACCGGCTCACTATAACCTACATTATCCCGCTTAGAACATGGCTTACTACTAAAACATTCAGTGATGTGACACAAAATAATGATTAAAGCACGTTTTATTGATTCAAAATTCGCAAAAAGAAATGTGTCTATACTCTGTATCCATGGCAACAGCAGCCTAATGATAATTAATATTGAATTCACCCTTCGCTAAGGCCCGCCCCCTTTAGTTACTGTTGCTAAGGCCGACAAACTTTCGGTTTCGGAGCTAGACTGGCATGGTGCTCCCACTGTCGCTAACTGCACTCCCTGGAGAAATACTCTCAGACATTTGAAGGATATAGCCTATTCAGGATGTCAGACTGACACAGCAACGAAATCAAGGTAACACAGTGTGTGCAGATGAACAGTGTTTAGTTTTACTCCCGTGGCGCTCCCAGCACCCAGACTGGCAACTGGACTGTCGGGGGGCTGTGGAAGAAGTCAAACAACGTTCATCTGCGCACACTGTGATGACACACAGCTGGTTGAATATCAGCAAAGTTTCCCTGCTTCCCTTCACTGGTTCCTGTACAGCAGGGTCGGTCTTTGTTTCACTGTTATAATCATTAAAAAGCAAAAGCAGCATGTGTATACATTCAGTAGATACGTTTCCTTTTCCACTCCGATCCTATTTGGCCTGTGTGGACTAACATTAACTGATTTTGATGCTCCTCAGTCTAAGGCCGTTGCTATGGCGCCCCTAGCAATGAGCAGCAGGGCAGCGGTGATACCTCAAGAAATAAACACAGCAGAATTTTGTTGATTGACCAGTCAGAATCAAATAGGCCTATTTAAGAGTGCCATGTTCTAATTCATTGTGTAGTCCATTGTTTTACATGTTTGACATGTACAGTACAGGCCAAAAGTTTGGACACACCTTCTCATTCAATGCGTTTTCTTTATTTTCATGACTATTTACATTGTAAATTCTCACTGAAGGCATCAAAACTATGAGTGAACACATGTGGAGTTATGTACTTAACAAAAAAAGGTGAAATAACTGAAAACATGTTTTATATTCTAGTTTCTTCAAAATAACCACCCTTTGCTCTGATTACTGCTTTGCACACTCTTGGCATTCTCTCCATGAGCTTCAAGAGGTAGTCACCTGAAATGGTTTTCCAACAGTCTTGAAGGAGTTCCCAGAGGTGTTTAGCACTTGTTGGCCCCTTTGCCTTCACTCTGCGGTCCAGCTCACCCCAAACCATCTCGATTGGGTTCAGGTCCGGTGACTGTGGAGGCCAGGTCATCTGCCGCAGCACTCCATCACTCTCCTTCTTGGTCAAATAGCCCTTACACAGCCTGGAGGTGTGTTTGGGGTCATTGTCCTGTTGAAAAATAAATGATCGTCCAACTAAACGCAAACCGGATGGGATGGCATGTCGCTGCAGGATGCTGTGGTAGCCATGCTGGTTCAGTGTGCCTTCAATTTTGAATAAATCCCCAACAGTGTCACCAGCAAAACACCCCCACACCATCACACCTCCTCCTCCATGCTTCACAGTGGGAACCAGGCATGTGGAATCCATCCGTTCACCTTTTCTGCGTCTCACAAAGACACGGCGGTTGGAACCAAAGATCTCAAATTTGGACTCATCAGACCAAAGCACAGATTTCCACTGGTCTAATGTCCATTCCTTGTGTTTCTTGGCCCAAACAAATCTCTTCTGCTTGTTGCCTCTCCTTAGCAGTGGTTTCCTAGCAGCTATTTGACCATGAAGGCCTGATTGGCGCAGTCTCCTCTTAACAGTTGTTCTAGAGATGGGTCTGCTGCTAGAACTCTGTGTGGCATTCATCTGGTCTCTGATCTGAGCTGCTGTTAACTTGCGATTTCTGAGGCTGGTGACTCGGATGAACTTATCCTCAGAAGCAGAGGTGACTCTTGGTCTTCCTTTCCTGGGTCGGTCCTCATGTGTGCCAGTTTCGTTGTAGCGCTTGATGGTTTTTGCGACTCCACTTGGGGACACATTTAAAGTTTTTGCAATTTTCCGGACTGACTGACCTTCATTTCTTAAAGTAATGATGGCCACTCGTTTTTCTTTAGTTAGCTGATTGGTTCTTGCCATAATATGAATTTTAACAGTTGTCCAATAGGGCTGTCGGCTGTGTATTAACCTGACTTCTGCACAACACAACTGATGGTCCCAACCCCATTGATAAAGCAAGAAATTCCACTAATTAACCCTGATAAGGCACACCTGTGAAGTGGAAACCATTTCAGGTGACTACCTCTTGAAGCTCATGGAGAGAATGCCAAGAGTGTGCAAAGCAGTAATCAGAGCAAAGGGTGGCTATTTTGAAGAAACTAGAATATAAAACATGTTTTCAGTTATTTCACCTTTTTTTGTTAAGTACATAACTCCACATGTGTTCATTCATAGTTTTGATGCCTTCAGTGAGAATCTACAATGTAAATAGTCATGAAAATAAAGAAAACGCATTGAATGAGAAGGTGTGTCCAAACTTTTGGCCTGTACTGTATGTTCTTATACTGTGGTTCTGGCAGAAGCATCTGTACAGGTTTTGTAACCTAGATTTGAGTGTAGCTTTTCAGTAAATATGTTGAAAAAAAAACTTTCATATGACATATTGATGTTTCTTTATTTCTTCACTCTTCCCTCATCGTTCACATTAATCAGGTCCACCTGAGCATTTAAAACAAGCACTTCCTTCTGCTCCGTAGCTTTCCCCTCTTCCAAATGGACCAATGTTGCACGCACAGCCTTTTAAACTATTGTTTTTATAAAACGCACGCGCGCTAATTAGAAAGTGCACATGCGTTTTAAAAAAAATAACATATGCATGTCACCTCCTGGTCTCCGTACAAAGATAAATTGATAAAACATAAGGAGACTAAAGCTTAAAAATTCAAAAGAAAAAGCCCGACTTAACCAGTTTTCTTTTGTAATATATCTTGAGAAAAGAACAAAAACTAACCATGAATAAAAACAAATATACATACATACATATGATATATTAGGGATGCGTGTGATTAGTTGTCTAAACTATTAAATATCACCCCCTCGCTAGTCGGCACCAGAAATATTAGTCGGTTAAACCAATTAGTGTTGTATTCATGTACAAGGCTGCTTAACTGTCATCCAGTGACAAATACAAACGTCTTTTACACACAAGTCGGACCAGAGACCATGGAGTGTTACAGTGATGGGACTTGGTCACAGCCACCCATCTACAGAGATATAAACAGGTCAAATACCAATATTTTTAGTTCTTAAACTCTATGAAAGATGTTCCCTAAATAATTGTACATGCTTTTAGGCAGAGAAACTGAACCAGCTGCTGCAAAGGGTGGTTCTGCAACAGCTGGGGGAAACACCACATCTGCTGGCAGCAGGACACGTCCTGCAGGTGGAGGTAGGTCATGGACCTTTTGGCATTTACTTTACAGTTAACAGTCTTTACTTTTCTAAAAGTAGTAATGATGAATTGTTTAAATGTTACTCTGAATTAGAAATAAAGTGATGCCAAAGAACACCCCAAAGTGATACTAACTGTGTGTTCTGTCCTGTATATAAACCTTTATATGCTCTGCATCTCACAGGATCCTCTTCCACCTCGGGCTCAAATGACAGGCGACCTCAATTCATACCAGGTGAATCATTCAGATTCATATCTTTTACATCACATGTATCAGACTTCATTTATTTATTTGGTTTAACTTTTCAAATACTTTCTTCCTTTCTGACCGGTTTAACACTGTAATGAATGTTACCTCTTTTTAAATTTCAGTTGACGACTGTGGAGCATCCCCAAACATTCCAAATGGTGATGTTGTGCAAAAGGATCGAATGTTTTTGAAATACCAATGTGAAGCCTTTCACACACTCGTCGGTTCAGACACCGTGGTGTGTCACAGTAATAGGACTTGGTCACCACTACCCGTCTGCAAAGGTACAAACAAATCCAATAATTTCCTTTCCAAAAGTCTATTGAAGATGTTATCTAAGTCATTTTACATGTTTTTTTCCCTTTCTGTTAATTTTGTGCAGAGACATTTTGTGTCCTCGATCCTGCTCAAGATCCTCTGCCCAATGTTAAACTATCAAGAGTTGAATATCTAAAGGAAGGAGAGCGGAAGCATTTTCCGTGTGTTTGGCGAGATTACAGCAGACTTGTTCAGTGTACTAATAGAAGAATAACTACTACAGGATGTAAGTATATAAGTAAGATCTTAACATTTTAGTTTGTCACAATACTTTTAGTTTCAGCATTTTTATTGTCAGATAACATATGTTAATATTAACTCTCCATGATCTTAAGTGATTCAGATCTAAATCACTTTAATTGAGACAGTTTGAAGAAGAATACTGAAGGAAAACTAACATATTAAATCCATACACCATATTATTTAAAGAATAAGCCTGACATTAGGTTTTGTGTTGTCAATAAAAGAACCAGGATTTGCCTGTGGACAGCCTGATATATAGCCTGTGTAATAAAGCAGAACAGATTTTCCTCAGTCGGTTCAGCCATGCAGAACTTCAAAATAACAAAAATGTGTGTGAATATAACAACTGAAATATTCACTGCTCTTCTGTTATTGGATTATTTTTAGGTTGTCATACTTATGACCATCAGCGGGTGAGTGTTCTTCTTTGATTTACTTTTCAAAGAATTACGTTGTAATAAAATGTAACTTTATTTTGATCAGTTTTATGGTCATTAATTACATGTTAACATCATTGCTTATTTTTTGTGTTGTAATCAGGGAGTTTGCTGGTAAAGCACAGCAGAGGAATCACTGCTGGACTGACAACTAAAGCCAAGTTGGAAATTTCCTCCGTCCTCCATATTCCTCCACCAGAGAACAACTACACCCATTTTTTTCCTTTCTGTTTACTTTTTTATTGAAGATTCATACACACAATTTTGGAGCTGATTGTTCTTTAACAGTCAGTTTAATGACACGATCAATACTTTGAAAAAAAATAAAGTTTATATGACCTACAGTCATCTGAATAAAATCTTAACTGAGATCTGTGTATTATTTTGTCTACAGTTTGTTTAGTACAGCCCTTTTACTAAGTATGGATATAGCAGAAAGGAAATGTTCGTCTTATATAAATGTACTTGAGACAGTATCACTGGCGAGTTCACAGACACATGGGCTGGCAGATTCGCAAAGTTCACTGTCTGTGTCAGTGCTTCATTGACTCTTTGTCTGGCAAGTTAGCAGCTGATTTTTAAATGCTACAGGAGGAGCTGTGGATGCGTCACCAACACTGATCCTGATTCAGAACAATTCCTGAAGGTTCATTTACTTGATGTACGGGGGCACACAGCTGGCATTAGCAACATGTGCATATAATGACTGCTTCCCCAAATAAACTGTACACATCAGTGGCAATATCATAAACCTGGCATGGCGCACATTATTAGATTCACCATGCGTGATATGTCGAGGACCGTAGGAACTTTAAGCATCAGACGATAATTTCTGTTTTTACAGTTTTTGGCTATGATCAATTTGCCAATTTTTAAAGAACACATGCCTTTTAAACCTGCCAGCGGGATCTGGTTCAGAGGGTATTTAACATAAATACAACATACAATCATTTAATGTTGTATGTCCCTCCTCTAAGCCAAAATACAAACACAAGTCCCTCCTTAAAAATTATTGGACATGCATCTGTAGAGCCATGCTGCTAACATGGCTAAAAAGGAATATTACAGGAGTTTATGCCACGTTGTGAAAATTAAACAGATGTAAAGTTTTGTTATAATGATTGTACTATAGTGTTATTTGTGACTGCAAATGTGGTGACTGTGTGGATGAAATGTGGTGACTACTTGACTTTAAAAATGTGAATTCAACTTAAATTCCTCCTTTGCAGCAGATAATTATTTTACTGCTCAAACGTCCCTTTAGACATGTTGTATAACATCTAGAAATACTCTGCTGTGAATAATCATTTGTGTCTGATAGTGTTCTTCTACACAAACTTCAATTAAATAGTTAAAAATTCTTAACATGGCACCGACTCCTTCTTCCAGAATTGATGAATGTTATTGAAATGTGTATTCCCAGTATTCTTGTACGATGTTGCAGCTATGGACTTCTCATAAATACAATAAACGAACTACATGATAAAATGTTGTTGTTATCTGAAGATATTTGTTTAGTAAAAGAACAAGTAAGATATTTGTAAGAATGCAACTTGAGTTCAGTTTCACACTCCAGGAGCAACTGTACATGAGATGATTCAATGTGCAGGTTTACTGAATATAAAATGTAACAGACCTTTAATGACTCTGAGCAGCTCTGACTATGTGTCAAGCTGGATAAATAATTGAATCAGACACAACACTGACCTCTGATCACACACGTCGAAAAAGCAATTGTGAAATTTGTCTGTAAATAATCCATTTTTGCAGAGACTTTTATATATCAGTTGATCTGAGGTTTCCTGGTCGTTCTCGACAAATGAATCATTGTCACAGGCCTTTCCCAGATTTTAAATGTTGAATTCATACAATAAATCCAAAAAACCTGTGCTGCTCTTTGAAGCACATAATGTGACAGTAAATGAATGGATGAAATCAACAGTATCATCTGAGGTCAAAGAGCAACACCGAACAGGAAACTATAAAATAATGTTTGTAAGAAGCCTCGTTTCAACAAGATACTGATGTAAATCTGCAGTGATCCAATCTGTTTCTTTCTCATTTAATGAATCATTTGCATTTCTCAAGTAAATCTGCCTGAAATGTTTTTGTGGATCCAGGAGCTTTGTGTGCGCTTAAGAAGAGGAAACAGACGAGAATTGTTTTCGCATGTTTTTTTCTCCTTTTCTGTGGGTGTGTCTGTGAACATGAAGCCTATTTGTCCATCTTTTCTTTTGGCTCCAGAGCAGCACCATGATGCCCGAGTGTTTACTCCACAAACATTTTCGGGAAATGTCCCCAACAATAATTAACTGGCTCTGATCTGGACTTGGATCTCAGCTCTACTTTGTTACTTCGTTCCTGACAAAATGTGCGTCAGATACCTTGGATTTATTCTTCTGATTTGGTTTCCTGGAGTGCTACATGGTGAGGATATCAAATACTTTAACATATGATCATTTTAATTTCTTAACAACAAATACAGTTACTGTTTAGTAATCTTCCTTATCGTTGTGTTTTAGCACAAAGTGCAGCACAGTCGTGTAGTGCTCCCAGACTGGATGGTGGTTTCTTTGCCCCAAAACAACAGACTTATTCTGATGGAACAAAGCTGACCTATACCTGTGATGAAGGACATAAACCAGCAGTGAAGGGTTGGTGGGCAACAAGCACATGTCACAATGGAAAATGGTCTCCTGAACCACAGTGTATAGGTAAGTGTTCCTAAACATGTCTACTGTTGCTTCCTTTTGTCCCCATGGTTGCAGCGTTGTTGTCATTCTGTCGGATGAATTGTTATAACTTTGATGATCCTCTGACTTCTCATCTAACACCATCATTTAATTTCTCAAATAATTTGGTTATAACTAAAGGAGAGAAAAAAATAGATGGATAAAAATAATAGATACATACTTTCCTTCCAACAAGCTTATTATAAAATTATTATGTTTTTTTAGTTATCACGCAGCCCCAAAAACTTTTGTGCTCTCCGTGCCACCTGCTGCAGCAGTGCAACATGCAAAGGGCTGGGTGAAGGTGAAAATTTAGGTGCAGATTTGTGGTGATGTGTGTTCATGTTGTGATGCTCTGAACCATCAAGACATTTCCTGAGGTAAAGCTTTCACATGTGCCGATCTAAGGTTATATTCACCTTTTCATCCCCAGGTACCCTTTGGGGCTCCATGATAACTAAATACCTGCAAAACACTTTATATTTTCATCAGCTTCAGCAGGACTTCATGTTGAGTGCTAGCATCTATCCTTTTTATCCACATATCTTGGGCCAGGTCAAAGGGACAGCAGGTTAAGCAAAGTACTACAAACATCCCTCTCCCCAGCAACGCACTATCACTTCTGTCCATGATCTCATTCTTTCGGTCATTTCCCAAAACTTATGACCCTAGGTGAGGGTTGGGACGTAAATGGACCAGTAAATCAAGAGCTTTGCCCTTCTGGCTTAGCTCCATCTACACCACAACAGTCCGGCGCAGCGCCTGCATCACTGCAGATGTTGTGCCAAACCATATATACATCGTAAGCTCCATTCTACCCTCTCTCATGAACAAGACCCAGAGGTACTTGAACTCCTTCACTTGAGGCAGTAACTCTCTCCCTCACAGAGTGGGTAGACTTGAAGGTGCTGACCCCAGTGCATGCTGGAGGTCACAGTGTGATGAAGCCAACAGAACTACATCGTCTGCAAAGATGTAATTCTGAGGTCCCCAAACCGGACCCCTTCCTCCCCCAGGCTGTGCCTTGAGATCCTGTCCATGACTATCACAAACAGAATCAGTGACAAGGTGCAACCCTTGTCCCTTGTCACCTTGCCCTGATTTTAAGGCAGCAGAGCATCAGTGAATCTTTGGAGATAACATTCACGCAAATAATGGCCTTCTAGAAAACCATGGTAAAATATATGTCTGTTTCTTTTTTCCTCTCAGATGAAAAAGCCTGCCTGCCACCAGATATACCCAATGCAAAATACACAGGAAACCGGAGTGGTTGGTATAGGGATGGACAAATAATCAGGATAACATGTGATGAAGGATATGAACCTAAATACAGACATGTCACAGCCAAATGTAATGGCGGAACATGGACGTCTCTGCCGGTCTGTGAGAGTAAGTCTGATGTTCTGTACAAACAAGCTGTAAAACAAAGACAAGTTATTCTTACGTTTAAGTTCTCACCAGCTAACTGAGCCAAGCAAGTAACCACTCATCTGAGCTCCTTTATTAACTCTTCTTTTTCATGACTAATATACCAATTTTAACAGAAAGTATTTATGCATGTGTTGAGCCCCCTAAAATCCCCCATGCAGTCATCATTCATCAGGAATACCAGGAGGTATTTGCTGCAGTTTCAGAGGTGCAGTATGAATGTGAAGATGGATATACTGTAGAGGAAGCAGACACCACAAAGTCCATCTTTTGCATCTATGGCAACTGGACTGAAGGCCCAACATGCAGTAAGTGGACAATGTGCTAAGACATGCAGCGATAAAGATGCTTTTTTTTATTATTATTACCAGATACTGGACAAAGTGAAACTAACTTATGTGTCTTTATCTGCTCTGTATCTCACAGAATCTTCTAGCACCTCTGGCTCGAATGAGAGAACCAGTAGACCTCAAATCACAACAGGTGACTCATTCAGATTCATCACATGTATCAGACTTAGTTTATGTTACTCAATGCTACTTCTTAAATACTTCTTCCCATGCTGACCAGTTACTGTAATGAAACAGCCTTTGGAGATTATCCAGTTGTGATCACCATTTCACTGAGATACTATGACAGCAATAAATAACCTCTTTTATTTTGTGGTATTTCAGTCGACCACTGTGGAGCATACCCGAACGTTCCAAACGGTGATGTCGTGGAAAGGTATCGAACGTATATAAAGTTCCAATGTAATGCTTTTTACACACAAGTCGGTTTAGGCACCGTGGTGTGTTACAGTGATGGGACTTGGTCACAACTACCCATCTGCAAAGGTATAAACAAGTCAATACCAGTATTCTTCATTTCAAAGGTTTATGAAAGATGTTTCCCAAATAATGATACACATGTGTTTTTCTGGTAATTTTGTACAGAGGCGTTCTGCGTCCTGGATCCTGCTGAACATGTTGGGGCCAATTTTAGACTATCTGGAGTTGAGTATTTAAAGGAAGGAGAGGAGAAACATATTCCGTGTATTCAGCAGGATTACAGCAGCCGTGTTCAGTGCACTAATGGAAAAATACATTTCACCCAGTGTAAGTGTGTAATTTAGTTCTTTACATTTTAATTTGCCACTATGCTTTAATTTCAGCCGATTCATTTTGAAATAATGTACACAAAATTTAGAAGTAATGGGAAACAAATGAGGAACTAACTATTTAAGTACCTCACAATCAAATGTCATAATTGTTAATCATTAGTTAATGATTGATTAATTGGCAGCACAGTGGTGCAGTGGTTAGCATTGTCACCTCACAGGAGGAGGGTTCCTGGTTCGAGCCCATGGTGGGGGAGCCCCTCCAGGTGGAGTCTGCATGTTCTCCCCTTGTCAGTGTGGGTTTTCTCTGTTTACTCTGGCTTCCTCCCACAATCCAAAGACATGCAGGTTCAGGGCTGCCCCTTACCAAATTGGGGCCCTAAGCGAAATTTTATTTGGAGTGATATTTCAAACTTTGCATTTAAGTTTAGTTCCCTCTGTCAACAAATGTATCAGTTACACACTCATTTCAATCAGTATTTCTCTCCTCAAAAGCTGACTGTTATGAATTAAATTCACCAACAGATGGCGACATTTACCTCCAAAAAGGAGTTGAAAACTTATATTAATAACATATATTGATAGGCTATAAACTTTAGCCAATATATTATATAAAGGCTAAAGTTTATAGCCTATCAATATATACGACCACCAACTGGTCATTTTACTACTCCTTTTCATCAGAGGTGAATGCATAGGGCGTTAACAAGACATTCAAGAAATGTTAATCAGGGCCGCTGGAAGAAAAAAATTTCTCCAGTCTAGACAGAGACTGGAGACAGAAATTCCTATCTAATGAGTAGCAGCTTAGGTGTTTGTGCGACAAAGTTTTATTTCAACAACACCCACCTTCAACGTGAAGCATGAGCTTCCTCTCGTTTTGCCTTTTTTTCCCCTCTTGCTCGCTCCTGACTGTCTTTTGGACGACATGTCGACAACTCTTCACCTGCTGCAGCTCTGCAAGTGCCTGCCGGCGCACCCCTCTGATTGGTCAGATGTCGAGTGCTGTCAATCATTGCAGCGACGCATGCACGGTCATATTACAGGTCTCTGCTCTCCTTCCTCGAGCTGATTCTACGCGCGTCTCACGGTAGCGCATATGCGCATCCATTGCGCAAATGTGTCCCCTTGCGCAAAATGTGGCCCCCTATGGAAGATGAGGCTCTATGTACAGTGCGTGTTCTGCGTTTAGGGAGGGGCGGCCCTGTGTACCCCCCTCATGGCAACAGTACTCCCCAGTGGCAGTGGCCCCCAGCAGGATAATGCACCAACCATGTCACACTGCAAACATTTCTCAGGAATGGCCCAGTGAATGTGACAAAGACCTCAAAGTGTCAACCTGGCCTCCAAATTCTACAGATCCCAATCTGAATGAGCATCTGTGGCACGTGCCATTAACCCACCTCACAATCCACTGGACTAAATGGATTTGCCTCTAACGCACTGGTGCCAGACACCGCAGGACACTCCCAGAGATCCTGTGTCCATGTCTCTACTGGTCAGAGCCAAGTCCGATCCAAGGAGGCCCCACCTTGGATTATCGGTACATCTGGGGTACCAGCACATCACAAGAATCCTTGAGCAGATTGGGACCTGGGAAATTTAGATGTCAGGTTGACACCTTGAGCTTTTTGTCACGCTCCACAGGCCATTTCTAAACAGTTGTTGTAGTGTGGCAGGCTGTTTTTTTCTGCTGGGGGGCCACTGCCATTGGGGAGTACTGTTGCCACGAGGGGGGGTACTTGGTCTGCAACAGTGTTTGATTGGGTGGAACATGTCAGGTGGTGACACATGAATGCCAGAACCAAAGATTTCCCAGCACAACAATGCATTGGAACAAAATAATCAAATATATTCACTTCACCTGTCAGTGGTTTTAATATTTTGGCTGATCGGTGTATATGCAGTGGTTAGCACCATGGCCTCACAGCAAAAGGGTTCCTGGTTTCGAACCTAGGGGATGGGGAGCCCTTCTGTGTGGAGTTTGCATGTTCTCCCTGTGTCAGCGTGGATTTTCTCCGGGTTCTCCAGCTTCCTCCCACAGTCCAAAGACATGCAGGTTAACTGGTGACTCTAAATTTCCCATAGGTGTGAATGTGAGTGTGAATGGTTGTCTGTCTCTATGTGTCAGCCCTGTGATAGTCTGGTGACCTGTGCAGGGTGAACCCTGCCTCTCGCCCAATGTCAGCTGGGATAGGCTCCAGCATCCTTGTGCCCCCCAACAAGAAAAGCGTTTGCGGAAAATTAGTGAATACGTATATGTACATTTTGTATAACAATAATGTTTTCTACTTAGGCATGGAAACTGAACCAGGTGCTGGACAGAACGGTTCTGCAGAGGTGGGAACAGCTGGTGTAAACACTACATCTACTGGGAGTGGGATACACCCTGAAGGTGGAGGTAGGTTATTGATCCGTATTAAATATGAATGAGTAAATCCATTGATGTGGGCTCTCTCCATAGAATATGTATATCCATTGTGTTTTCTCTTTTCCATTAAGGCAGCAGACCAGGTACTGGACATGGTGGATCTGCAGGTGGGGGACACACTACATTGACTGGCAATGGGACAAAGCCTGTGGGTGGAGGTAGGTTTGGATTTGGATGAGACTTGAATGAAGAATATAATATAATATAATCTTCAGTGTCAATTGTGTGGACAACAGTATTGTCGGCAAAGATGTTTAGACGTTCTGAGAGAATTTCATAAAAACATCACAGTGTGATACTCAGTGGTGCGTCCGCTGTATCTTACAGGGTCTGCTAGCAGCTCCGAAGAGAAAGAGATTCAACTTCAGATCACAACAAGTAAATAAGTTGATTCATTTTTTCTTTTACATGATATGATAAACTGTGTTTATACAGCAGGTTTCAAAACTAAAGTTGTCCATCCGGGGTATAGCATACCACCTGGGGCCCTTGGCATCTAATCTTCATCTTCAGCCTTACCTGGCCTGGCACCCAGATACATTGCTGAGCCCCTCTGCCCCCTTTCCAACACTAGATCTCTCAGATCCTCAGACCAGTTGCTCCCGGCAGTCCCGTGATCCAGACTAAGGGGGAAGGGTGATAGTCCATTCGCAGTAGTTGCCCCAAAGCTTTGGAACAGCTTACCCTTTTCAACACCCACATGTTTTCTAAGGCCTTTGATTGTCCTTAAGGTTGTGTTTTAACTTTTATATTTTATTGTCAGATCTCACTATTCTATGCTTTGTTTTCTTTTTTTTACTTGTTTATTTGTGCATGTTTTGCTGTAATGTAATTTTACTTATTTTACTCTACAGCTCTTTGGTCAACTCTGGTTGTTTTTAAATGTGCTTTATGAATAAATCTGATTTTATTTGATCATATGGCTGAACCAGGATTAAGACATTTGAGACGGCAATGAGGCAGGTACATCACATGCACTGGGTAATATCTCCACCAATTCAGGGTTATTTGGTCAAAAATATTGTATTTCATTCATTTCTAACCAGTAAATTACAGCAATAATTCTCCAGCCATTTACCAATATCTGTATTGAGTGGTTTGGGGGTAGATTAGTTCCATCAGTGAGGCAGCCAGTAAGAAGCTGACAGAATCATTTACTCTGATATGACAGCTTGAAATATTTGTTAAGAGAATCCTCTTTGTTGATTTATTTTTTTATTTCAGTTAGGACCTGTGGAAATCACCCCGTAGTTCCTAATGGTGATGTTGTGGAAAACAATCCAATGTTTTTGAGGTACCAGTGTGCTCCATTTTACAAACGAACGGGTCCACAGAGTGTGGTGTGTTACAGCAACGGGAAATGGTCAGAAACACCCACCTGCAAAGGTAAAAACAAATCGAGTCTAAAGGATGTCAAAGAGTGTAGCTGGAAAAAAGTTAACAGTTTTTTTTTTTTATTGTTCCTTTTGTGCAGCTGCCTTCTGTTCTGTGGACACTGGTGACTATCCTGAATTAATACCTGCTGGAGTTAAATATATAAAAGAGGGTGAGAAGGCGAGATTGGAATGTGTGCATCAGGAGCGATGGTGGACGACTCATTATTCTGTGGCTCGCTGCAATAATGGAAGAATCAGACTTTCCAGATGTAAGTATCACTTTAAACTCATTACAGATTAACAAGAAATACAATAAGGTCACAGATTTCTCCAAATCACTGCCAGCTAAGGAACCATATGCTGTAAAGCCCTGTGAGGCAAACTGTGATTTGTGATATTGGGCTTTATAAATAAAATTGATTGATTGATTGATTGATTGAGTACTAACTATCTGACAGATAGTATAGTCTTCATGCTAGAATAGAATAGAATAGAATAGAATAGAATAGAATAGAATAGATCTTTATTGTCCACCATGGGTGGAAATTTGTCAGCTCACCAAACACAAAAGACAACATTGTAAAAGCAGACCAATAGTCAGTAAGACAAGCGTATCAAGTCATTACAAAACACTTTAACACATTTAATCAGCTCATTGTCTGTCTGTGGTTTAAAACTCATCAGTCTGGGGATGAAGGACTTCTTAAATACACAGATCAGCCAAAACATTAAAACCAATGGCGGGTTAAAGTGAGTAACACTGATCATTTTATTACAATGCAAGGTTCTGCTGGGAGACCTTTGGTCATGGCATTCATGTGGATGCCACTTGACGCCCTCCACCCACCCAAACACTGCTGTGGGCTGAGTAACCCCCCCTCACTGCAACTGGAACTCCCTGATGGCAGTGCCCCCCCCCCCCCCAGCAGCAAAATGCACCATGCCATACTGCAGAAGCTGCTCAGGAGTGGCCCAAGAAACGTGACAAAAAGCTAAAGGCATCGGCTCTGTCTTCAAATCTTGTTTTGCGCAGATAATCAATTCTTTATTCTTGGCCACAGTAATTTCTAACTTACAGATGTGACACCATGTTTGAAGGACCTTAGTGTGGGCCAGGTAGGCAGCTTCACCTGATGGGTCTGTTTGCTGTATAAGATCAACTAAGGTCCTGTCTTCAGCATATTTAAACAATCTAAAATGTTCCTCATTTATCATGAATTCATGAGGAAACACACAGAGAATAGCACAAGGGAAAGAACACATCCTTGTGGACACATTTGACATGTTCCCCCTGACACAGATTCTCTGTGGACGCCAGGTGAGAAAGTCTCTGATCCAGAGAACTACCTGTGTTAGTGTTAAGATCAATTAGCCTTTTCAGGAGTATATGTGTCTTCATTAAGTTAAAAGCTGCACTAAAATCCACAAATAAATCCCTGCTCAACTAAGCTCAGCTAAACCCCTGCAAGCCACATATTCAGCATACAATCATGAAGTGGAATTGGTCATCTAACCACAGTTAGTAACCGCAGTTCCCAAAATGTCACTGATTTAGCACTGTACTTCTAATACCGTGATGAAGGCTTTAGCTGGCTTAGGTAGTGTTCACCAATATGGGTTGTCAGGTCAGGACTAGGGGTGTAAATCACCAGTTTCATCATAATCATCTTCTTCTTTCAAAATACACTTCTGTTTTCACAGAAAATTTAACGTTTACATACAGTCTCCTTCAAAATAAACACACTACATCTGTACAACACTGCTAACTGATGTTTTTTTTCCCTTCCTGAAACAAAAACACATGGTTAGGGTTAGGAAAAAAGAACAGGATTTGACTTTACAATGTTACAGGAAGCAACACGGGTGAAAGTCGGTGTTTGTTGGACCCATCCATCATCCCTCCCGCCCACCTCGCTCAGACTTTCAATGCGTTAAAAGTATAGCGCACCCAAAAATGAAAATTCAGCCATTATCTACTCACCCATATGCCGAGGGAGGCTCAGGTGAAGTTTTAGAGTCCTCAAACCCCTTGCGAAGATCCCAGGGCAGAGGGGGTAGCAGCACAACGCCACCTAATGATGGCTTACGGTGCCCCAGATTCAAACGTCCAAAAACACATAATTGAAACCACAAAATATCTCCATACTGCTCGTCCGTAGTGATCCAAGTGTCCTGAAGCCCCGACATAAAAAGTTAGAGGCAGTTAGAGCTGCAGGCTACAATGAGGCTAAAAACAGAGTTCAAATGACATTTTTCCAAACAACTTTTTATGTCGGGGCTTCAGGACACTTGGATCACTACGGACGAGCAGTATGGAGATATTTTGTGTTTTCAATTATGTGTTTTTGGACGTTTGAATCTGGGGCGCCGTAAGCCTCCATTAGATGGAGTTGTGCTGCTACACCCTCTCCCCTGGGATCTCCCCAAGTGTTGTGAGGACTCTAAAACTTCACCTGAGCCTCCCTCTGCATATGGGTGAGTAGATAATGGCTGAATTTTCATTTTTGGGTGCACTATCCCTTTAACTTTCGTCCTTGTCCCACAGCGTTTCCCTCTGACACCGCCGGGCATCCCTAAACTATACCGGCAACTGGCCGCATAACATGCCAACATTAAAGGACAGCTTCTTTCGTTGGTGTCTGATGCCGCAAATCACTGCCCAAGCGCCAGAATTCCACAACTTCGGAGTGAGACTGGGCTCGATCCACAGCTAAGGTCCCCTGTTATTTTTGCTGTGTGTTTTTCCACAGCAGGGCAGGTAAAAGATGTTAACGTGTTGGAGCTGAGCTGTTTGCAGAGCCTGTTGTCTGCAGCTCTTCATCAACATCTCACTGTGGCTGTTTCTGCTTTCACTTTCCTCCCTGTAGTTTTATTACATTTGTCTTAATTGAAGAAAAGCCGCTAACAAAGTTCCGCTAATTCAGTAATAGGGTCATTCCTGGATATTGGTGACTTTTCTGTCCCCAGGAAATAAATGTTAATATTTTATTTAAAATTAATGAAATATTTATGGTGAAAAGCTTTTATTATAGATTGAGGTCTTCTTTGTAAGATTAACACAAAATAATGCATGCAAAATATATTTATTTTAATTTTAATTACTTTTTTTTTTGGTCTCCAAAGCAAATTTTCAGTTTCAATGAGACACATTTGCGATATAATTATAAATAAATATAAATGTGCCTTTATTATTGTATAAATCAAATTAAAATCTCTCTACTTATAAATATATATCAATGGAAACAATTGTTATTATTTATCATTTTTATAATTTACTGTGTGTCCTCGAAATCGAAGTTTGTGGTTTTTCACCTTCTAAACAAAAAAAACCTACAATTCCCATGAAGCCACATTCAGGAAGTGCGATCACTCTTTTGGCGGGAATTCAAAAGAACAAAGAGAGGTGAGTCCCAACTTTCTGTATGTCTTCTTTTTTTTTTTTTTTTTACAAGTTTTATGATGTTAACCTTTATGTCCTACTCTTAACTTTCCACCCTATCATGCTAAATTTTGAAGAAAGTAAGCAACATTTTGAAATAATCACAAACATGTTTGATATATATACTAAAGTACTGTTTGTGTGCAAAGTTAGCTAACTATAGATGGCTGCCTCACAGAGCTATAGCTCATTTGGTTGACAAAATTCCACCCTGTTAAGTGCATGTTCCACCATGTTACAGTGTGGAACATGCACCTAACAGGGTGGAAAATCTATTACAAAATGTAAAGAAATGCATATTAATGCTGATATAAACATATTCAAATGTCATTTAAACTGTTCATGTAATTTACCAGTATGTATTAAAGGTTTACACTTTATAACTATAATAAGTTATTCAACATTTATTTGGCTTTTCTTGTCTTATCAATTGATCACACCCCCTTGTGTGTAATCAGTATGCATTTAAACAGTAATTGATCAATATTGTGTGGTCTATACAATTTACATGATAATATAAAGTTAAATTATGTATTTGTTAGGAAATGGCTCCAGCACTAAGTGCAGCAGAGATGCAGCATTGCTACAGAGAAAGGAGAGACGCTGATCCAGAAAGAAGAGCAGAGTATCTCAGGAAAGAGAGGGAGAAATGGCCTTGGAGCAGGATTACAGCCAGATATGCCTTGTTTTGTTTGAATTTTGACTCTGCTTTTATTGTCAAGCACTTTGTACTTCGTTTGAAAAGTGNTATCATGCTAAATTGTGAAGAAAGTAAGCAACATTTTGAAATAATCACAAACATGTTTGATATACAGTATATATACTAAAGTACTGTTTGTGTGCAAAGTTAGCTAACTATAGATGGCTGCCTCACAGAGCTATAGCTCATTTGGTTGACAAAATTCCACCCTGTTAAGTGCATGTTCCACCATGTTACAGTGTGGAACATGCACCTAACAGGGTGGAAAATCTATTACAAAATGTAAAGAAATGCATATTAATGCTGATATAAACATATTCAAATGTCATTTAAACTGTTCATGTAATTTACCAGTATGTATTAAAGGTTTACACTTTATAACTATAATAAGTTATTCAACATTTATTTGGCTTTTCTTGTCTTATCAATTGATCACACCCCCTTGTGTGTAATCAGTATGCATTTAAACAGTAATTGATCAATATTGTGTGGTCTATACAATTTACATGATAATATAAAGTTAAATTATGTATTTGTTAGGAAATGGCTCCAGCACTAAGTGCAGCAGAGATGCAGCATTGCTACAGAGAAAGGAGAGACGCTGATCCAGAAAGAAGAGCAGAGTATCTCAGGAAAGAGAGGGAGAAATGGCCTTGGAGCAGGATTACAGCCAGATATGCCTTGTTTTGTTTGAATTTTGACTCTGCTTTTATTGTCAAGCACTTTGTACTTCGTTTGAAAAGTGCTATATAAATAAAATGTATTATTATTATTATTATTTATAAGTCTCTAGTGAATTAAATAATAATAAATGAATGAATTAATGTGTTTAATGTTAATGTTAATGTGTGTTTAATAAAATCATTGTTGAAACTCACTGAGTCATTGTTGATAATTCCACCCTGTAAGTGTCCTTTCCACCCTGTTAGTCACTTTTTTCTTTTTTTTTTTAAATAACATAACAACCTTGTTAAATATTTTGCATGTTTTTATGTTAATTTGCAGAGCTGAAAGGGATTAACAGCATACATATGTTTTTTGAGCAAATTTGCTATTATTTACCCTTTTGGGTAAATCGGGTACAAAATTGTGATGGTCCTAAACAACGAACACATGTTCTACTTAACAATTCTTGTTTCATTATTATTCAAAGAAGAAAACAAACTTATATGATGGAATAAGGGACAGGGACAATAAGGTGTTATAAAAACTAAGTATTGTTAAATATTTACATAATTAACACTTTGTAGTACCTATGAATATGTCCCTAACAGGGTGGAACTCTCTCACAGTCCATGTCTGAACAATCCACCCATAATTATTATTATTTAAATGCTTAAGCTCTATCAGTAAAAGCTCCTGAAGGTTAAACATGTCATTTACCTGATATAATAATAAAAACACAAAAAATGTATTCTTTTTTCCACAGAAGTTAGCACATTGAAAAGTCACCAACAGCCAGGAATGACTTTTCTATCGATTCTTCACAATACAAGTCCCCTGTTGTTTTAAAAGCTTTTATTGTGAAGCAGCAAAATAAGGAAATGTTGTTGAGTTTTCGAGCAGTAACTTCACACAACTTCTAACACGGCAGATAGCGAACATGAAACAGTAAAATAAAGCAGATCTCTAAAGTAAAAACAGGACGCAGGACAGAAACTAAACTCCAAACCACAGAGATTCAGTTAGAAGCTACAAAAGTACTGAGAGCTGAACACACACAGAGACTTTTAAAAACACCTTTCTCTGGTCTCCTGCAGACAGAGGTGAGTAGAGTCTTGCTACACACACGCTTGTTCGTGGGGGAGAACGGGGAACGTTGGGTGTTGGCTGCATTTGGCGAGACATCACCGCTACCTGCTTGAGGGCCGGCTGCCCGGCTTTTGGACCTACTCCTGAGAAGGTCCATCTCTGGTGTGGCTTGGCGTGGCACAGCGTGTCTAAACTGACAATGGAAACACAGATCGGCGCAGCATGGCTTCACTCGTTGTGGCCAAAAGTGACTATGGAAAAAGGGTATTTGTAAAGTAGGATTCATAAAGTCGTAGAAGGCGGGCCTTGAGACAGTGAGTGTGCGGGATAGCAGGCATAGCCATCACAGTGAGTACGTTTACATGGACAGTTTAATTCCACTTTTAATCTGAATGAAAGGCCATTCCGATTAAAAGTGGTCATGTAAACAGTCATTCCGACTGAAAAATGGTCATTCCGATTGAAAATTAAATCCGATTAAAGGGGGTGGTTTATTCCATTTGTCATTCCGAATGAAAGAATTTTGTGTGCATGTATACACTCATTCCTCTTTAAATTCATTCCGGTCTTTCTGCGCATGCTCGTTTCCTTGCCCTTCTGGCGCGATGACGTATATAGCGCGCATAGCAACGGGCTGCATAGCAACGGGCTGAGATAGAGCAGTCGGACTCGTAGCACTCACCGGTTTCCATTCACCACAGCACGGTCTTCTACCTCCCTTCTCCTCCTCAACAGACGAAGCATTAGCAGAACAAGGTTGTTGTCGTACTGCTGCTTCAAGAATATAAGCAAAACACGCCCGAAAAAGGCACTAAGAACGCCGGCGTCAAGCATCTTGTTATCCGGAGCGAGGACTACAGTGTTTTCTTCTGGTAAACGTAAATACGTAACATCCGCCCCGCCCCCTATCCAATCAGAAACCTTCCCTGCCCCAAACCTTGCGCAGACCTGAATAAAGGCGATTGAACTGATCTCCCATGTAAACCCTCATTCGGAATGAATATTTCCCATGTAAACTACCTGGAAAAACTTTAATTCCGAATGATTTCATTCAGATTTATTTCATTCCGAAGGAGAAGCCATCATGTAACCGTAGCCAGTGTGAAGGAGTTTAAGGTGGTGGCCGTAGTTTTTGTTAGCTTTGCTTGAAAATCTTTAAGATGACAAGAAAAGTATGAAGTCATCTGACTGTCTTCTTAAGAGTAACAAGAAAAACTGAGAAAATGTTTTGTTTATTTTTTCTTTCTGTTTCAGGTTGTGACTGGTGGGATTTAAAGAGGGTGAGTGTAACTCCTGGATCTACTTTTTAAAGAACGCTGATGTTTCTCACATGAAAGACAACTATGCATCACTTTATTCACATTATATTTGACTCTGTTTGTTTCTGTTTGTCAAACCTCTGTCTTGTAACCAGGATATTTGCTGAGGCTACAGCACCAAGAGGAAGAATACTGCTGCCTTTGGATTTGCTCACCACTGATGGAAAACAAGTTATGCTGGCTAAGTTATGATCATGCTGTCACACACTGTGTTGTGTTGTTTATCAAATGATTTCTCGCTTTTTGTTTTGATCTGTGACAGCCTACATAATGTACCAACAAATTCTCTGTGTGCTTAAAGCTACAAAGATTCAAATGTGGTGTAAAATGTATATTTTATTGCTTATATTGATTTCTGGATTGAGCCAAAGAGGGTGGGTGTTACTCCTAAATCTACCTTTCAAATAAACAAAGTTCTGTTTCTAATTTTTTTATTACAACAATTGTTTAATTGAAGATTGAAGATGCAGCTGCATTTGGATTCAAGTCAATGTATTACTGAATAAATACATAAAATTTGAATATGCCAACAACGTGTGCTGGATTTCATAAAAATCAATTTTGGGCTTTTTGGCTTGATCTGAAACACAAAAATTTAAAAAATACTTAAATATAATGATGTAGTTGTTTGTTTTTTCACTGAACAATAAATCCAAAAAACCTGTGCTGCTCTTTGAAGCACATAATGTGACAGTAAATGAATGGATGAAATCAACAGTATCATCTGAGGTCAAAGAGCAACACCGAACAGGAAACTATAAAATAATGTTTGTAAGAAGCCTCGTTTCAACAAGATACTGATGTAAATCTGCAGTGATCCAACCTGTTTCTTTCTCATTTAATGAATCATTTGCATTTCTCAAGTAAATCTGCCTGAAATGTTTTTGTGGATCCAGGAGCTTTGTGTGCGCTTAAGAAGAGGAAACAGACGAGAATTGTTTTCGCATGTTTTTTTCTCCTTTTCTGTGGGTGTGTCTGTGAACATGAAGCCTATTTGTCCATCTTTTCTTTTGGCTCCAGAGCAGCACCATGATGCCCGAGTGTTTACTCCACAAACATTTTCGGGAAATGTCCCCAACAATAATTAACTGGCTCTGATCTGGACTTGGATCTCAGCTCTACTTTGTTACTTCGTTCCTGACAAAATGTGCGTCAGATACCTTGGATTTATTCTTCTGATTTGGTTTCCTGGAGTGCTACATGGTGAGGATATCAAATACTTTAACATATGATCATTTTAATTTCTTAACAACAAATACAGTTACTGTTTAGTAATCTTCCTTATCGTTGTGTTTTAGCACAAAGTGCAGCACAGTTGTGTAGTGCTCCCAGACTGGATGGTGGTTTCTTTGCCCCAAAACAACAGACTTATTCTGACGGAACAAAGCTGACCTATACCTGTGATGAAGGACGTAAACCAGCAGTGAAGGGTTGGTGGACAACAAGCACATGTCACAATGGAGAATGGTCTCCTGAACCACAGTGTATAGGTAAGTGTTCCTAAATATGTCTACTGTTGTTTCCTTTTGTCCCCATGGTTGCAGCGTTGCACCATGAATGGTAGTGTCACTCTGTCAGTCCACTACTTTGGTCCAAATATCGGGCTCCATTATTTAATTTGTCCTAAGATCTGGTCTATAACTAAATAGTCTAACTGCAAAACAAATGATAATCCAATGAGCCTCAGCTGGACATTGTGCTACATGCTAATTATGTTAGCATGCTATGAAGCAACAAGATGGTAAACATTATAACTGCTTAAAGTTCAGATAACGTTTTTGTGAGAGTATCTAGCTTCAGTGTTGAGATATATTTCCTACTGAAACAGGACAGACAGCCCACGGCTCACCACCAGGCTGTTCACGTTTCCAACCGATTTTCCCCACTCAGCGACACACCCGCTGAGGACAAAACTGAGGTGGAGGTGGATAAAATTAATATTGCCTCGGTGTGTGAATACGCAAAAACGATGTCGGACTCCATAGTTTTCTCTGGACCCCTCCCAAATCTGACCAGTGATGACATGTTTAGCCGCATGTCATCATTTAATCGCTGGCTGTCCAGGTGGTGTCCAGCAAACAATGTGGGTTTCGTTAATAACTGGCAAACTTTCTGGGGAAAACCTGGTCTTATTAGGAGAGACGGAATTTATCCCACTTTGGATGGAGCTGCTCTCATTTCTAGGAACCTGGCAAACTTTATTAGTAATTTAAATCGCTGACAACCCAGAGTTGAGATCAGGACTCAGAGTTGCAGTCCTATACGCCTCTCTGAACTTCTAGTTCCCAGTTACCCAGCCATAGTTTTCATAGTTTTATACAAACGGTGTCTGTCCCCTGACCACCTAAATTATTTAAATCTAAAATTAAACAAAGAGGAGTTGTGCATAACAACCTCATAAAAATTAAAACCTCTTCTGTGACAGAAAGACAAAACAGGAGAATTAAATGCGGACTGTTAAATATCAGATCTCTATCGTCTAAAGCAGTGTTAGTAAACAAATTAATATCAGATAATCAT